GGATTCCTATTTATAACACAAATTAGGGCAAAATTGAAATTTAAAAAGACATATTCTTAAATCACCCTTAAAATATTTTGGTTTGAGGGCTCCGTCCCCCTTCCAATTCCTAAAGCAACCTCACCACGAAGGTCGATTCACGTACTGGCTTCTCAAGCGACAATAATTAGACTAAACAACTTAACATCGATTGCACCTAATTGAAAATAAATGACTATATTTGCAAGTTAAAGTTGATTGATTTAATTGAATCAAATTGAAGATGAACGACTTAGATACATCTTCGCTAAGAACTGATGACCCACAATGCATTTAATCCATACACATCCAAAAAGAAAAAGAGAGTACAACAAAACATGTTAAATTTTGTTTCTTTCTCGAAAACAGCCTATTAGCAATCCTTATATGGGCACAATACACTTATGGTCCTAATTTCGATTGATTTCATTTTCAAGTTTCAATACGTGCAAATCAGTGATTGGTTAAAAATGACCTTCGATTTCATGTATTTAACTTGCATATCGTAGAATTTCTTTATGACATATTTGTTACGGTAAATTGAAATATCCTTTTAAGTAGAAAATCAATATTAGTATGGATTTCTATTGAAGACGAGAATGAACAAAAGGTTCAGTCAAATTCAAAGACAGTCGATACAGAGGAAAACAGAAAGGAAAAATTTGAGTTTGTAGTCTGCATTACACGAAAATAAGGTCACTGAGATCTCATGTAGGGCAGCAAATGTGACATTTCGTACCTTCAGGGACCAAAAATTTTAAGATGACAATGATATCTACCTTTAAACTTTACTATGCCATTATGTTGAGACATTAATAAAGTGAAACCACGTCCCAATTTATACGGTCGTAAATACTTAAAACAGATGGATGTTCTCTAGCCAAAGGTAGCTTTGGTAATGGAGAGAGTGTCTTGTGGTAGCTCCAACACCCCCATCGCGATAGAAAATTGTCCTAAACACCACATGCAAGGCTGCGCCACGAGGCATCCGTCGTATCGTGGCATTCGGAAAAGGCGATGGGGGAAATGGGTGTCCGAAATTCGAGAGCCAAGGAAAAAAAAACGTATATGGCTAGGCTCATATCCAACACCAGAAATGGCAGCTAGAGCATATGATGTAGCTGCATATTGTCTAAGAGGACAAAAGGCGCAACTCAATTTTCCGGATGAAGTCGAGCTTTTACCGCGGCCCTCTACATGCAACGCTAAGGATATTCAGGCCGCTGCAGCATTGGCGGCAAAGATGGTGGTAGAAAAGGCCGACGTTTTAAATAACGATGGCTGCGATGATTTTTGGGGTGAAATTGAGCTGCCGGAGCTGATGGATAATGGTCCAGAAGTTTTTTCTGAGACTTTGAGTGATTATATATCAGAAGAATCGTATTGGAATAATTCTTGCGAGACGATCCCTAGTGATACCCCAACAATAGATTATGAGTATATTGTTTGATTACGTCCAAAAACAGTAAGTACGCATAATTCATATATAATTATGTTAGCATCTTTTCTGTTTTGTATAATTTTTTAGCCTGTTTTGAAATCCAACGGTGGGAGTCCATCATCATGAGTTGGAACTTTCTTCATCATCTCAGGCTGCAAATCTTGCTTTCTATTTAGCCAGAGGGATGTAAATTTTTGAAAGTTTTCTGGCCTGCATCAGAAGCCAGCAGCATGAGTTAACTTACTTGGGAGTGGACTTTCCACTTTAAGCTAATTTTAATATTACAAATCGAAGATACAACAATAGAGAAGCAATAAGGAAGAATTTAGAACAAGTACTACTCACTAGTTTGGATATTTTGAGGCAGACAAACTTGTTCATGATAGAGTACTTGCATTATGATGCACACCACTTTTCTACCAGACTCGACTGCCTCTTCTCTCATCAGCCCCAACAAAGCTCCCTATGATTGAAACCAAAAAAATCATCCAAATTAACTTCAGGAAGACAATGAACTTCAAAGAAAATAGCAATAGGTAGACATCAAGAAAAACCATTCAAAGAAACTGTAGTCATGAAACAAAACGAGAATAGGCGATAAAACAAATTAAGAAAAAGATTTTACAAGGAAATTCTAGACGGGAAAATCGACGGACAGAGGAGGAGAAAATTCTCAGAATTTTGGTTTCACCACATATATTGCACCGCGAGCTTTTCCGGCCAGGCCAAACACAATTCGGATCACCATACTCTTGACAGAAACGGATTATGCAAGCTTCAACTACATTACGACGGTGTANGGTCGTGATTCCTTCATCCCCCCCTCAAGGTGGAGGTTGGTGTAAATCACCCAACCCCAACTTGGAAAGAAGACGGTGGAACTGAGGGGCAGCAAGTGATTTCGTGAAAATGTCCGCAAGTTGGGCATGAGAAGGAACATACTGGGGAAGAACAAAACCACACTTACATAAATTCCGAATCAAGTGACAATCAATCTCCAAGTGTTTCGTGCGTTCGTGGAAAACTGGATTAGCAGTAATATGTAAGGAAGTCATGTTATCACACCATAAAGAGATAAGGAGTGTATAAGGAACGTGGAGATCATCCAAGATATAAGTGATCCATTGCAATTCACAAACAGTGCTTCCTATACTACGGTATTCAGCTTCTGCCGAAGAACGAGAAACTGTAGTCTGCTTCTTGGTCTTCTAAGAGATAAGTGCTGAACCAAAAAACACACAATATCCAGTGAGAGATTTCCTAGAATCCAGGCAAGAAGCCCAGTCAGCATCAGCGTAAGCTTGCAAGCTGAGAGAGCACTTTGCAGGGAAGAAAAGTCCTTTAGAAGGACATCCCTTCAAATATCTGAGTAAATGCAGAGCAATCTCCCAATGTGATTC